CGCGTCAAATCTAGCTCTCTTGACACGCCCCAGCATCCGCAATGAACACAACGTTATCACGAACCTGTGCAACATTTGGAAAAATCGTAGTTATTCGTTTTTCGATTTTTTCAGTTTTTTGTCTGTTGTTGTAAAGCGCTTGCTTGGCAATTCCGCTAACGAACATTGAATTTTACAGGGTGACTGGCAGGCACAGTTTGCTATAGAGCTCGCAGGCCGAAGAATCGCACACATCAAGGCTCCATCAAACACTCCTTGGCTCTACGTCAATTAGGCCTGCTGGTCTATCGGAAACAAATTTTACATAGTTGTGCAGGAATTTAGCAATAAAAGGTGATATATGACGAGTATTTTTCGAAATTTTACGGGGACATGTGACCCATTTTTAGGGAGAGGGGGGGAAGCAAGGAGGAATGCTGCCTCATCATTACGCCTCTTTAGCGCTGTTTCAGCTCTGGAAAATTGGCGCTGAACTATGTTCCTGGCCGACACTGGCAGTGAACCTATTATTCTCCTTGGAAGGAGCTCTACGCTTGCTTGGATAGCGCTCGAAGAAATTACCACTATTGTCTCAACTGAACATTCGCTGCGGGACCGGGTCCCGCGGCCTGAGAGGCTGCTCGAGATGACGGAGCGTTCCAAGAGAGATGGGTTTGGCACGGCGCTAGCCCGTTTTTTTTTCTTTCGGCAAGCAGAATATCGTATAACATTATTCGTAGCCGTTTACCACCAGTTGTTGTCGCTCGTACCAACTTCGACAACTGGTGGAGGACGGGCTGGCGGCGTGCCAAACCCAGTCTCACTGACACTTCCCATCTTCGGCACCGAACAAGACTGTACCCTCACCTGTGCATATAGATGTAGGCCCGCTGATTTAGCTCGTCTCCACAAGGATGAGACAACTTTGACGGGTGGAGTTCCCTTGGCTCGTGACAGCTTCAGCGCCCTCGTCACTGGTTGCTGAATCGCGGAAAGGGAAATGTTGCCTTGGAAATTTTGAAAATATGGCAGTCTACTCGTACAAGAGGGGGACTTCACCTGTCAAGTAATGGCGAAGTGGGTTTTCAAAGTGGCTAGGTAGCAGAGAGATAAGCTTTTTGTGACCAATACTATCCACTGCTAAGTGCACCTCCACAGCCACTCTGCGTGCAGTGGTATGGAGCTTTTCGAAATATTAGAAAAGGAATTCGGCTAGAAGGTGCGTCAACGCTCGGTGAGTCACTTCTTGCGCCCTTTATCTTTAGATGAAATAGAGCTGCGACGGGCAGCATTTGCACACATACGGTGATTCAGGCTACACCTTCGAAGAAATAGCGCTCATCGCTCATCCATCAGTTCGAGCCAAAAACCATGTAAGTGGTATAGCCACTCAGAAATGGGATCTGAAAATTTGGAATCGATCTCATATTGGTGCTGACTGGGTCCATGTGGTCCTTAGTGGGGGAGGGCGGGATGCGGGAGTAGGGGGTGGGGAGAGACGTGGTGCTTCGTCGACTTTCACTGGCCAGTGTTCATGCCCAGCCTAGCGCAGTGAATCAGAGTGCTGCCACAGCTGGCCTAATCGCCCCTCCCCTCAATGACGCCAGTACGCTCAATTTCGTGTTGCTGTGTATTTAGACTCCATGCTACTGTCAAAAAAAAGTGAACAGCCGGAAACTAGAAAACGCTCATTTTCGGCTAACCTGCACCAAGGTAGGTTTCGGCAAATTTGAATGGCGTCGCTCTATACAAGCAGGGATGGGTGTGGCCAAGTCTCGCCGAGTGGGCCCTCAACTACCCTTGTGCCTAATGATGTCGGCAGCATTTTTCACAGAGTGCCGAGTATGGACCAAACATTGAGGTGGCCGAGTATGGCCGGCAAACACTGAGCGGTAACGTTTTGCCCCACCAGACGGAGGTTTGCCCCTATGATCAAATGCGCAAAGACGAAGTAATTGAAGGCCCTACCCTCCCCCCCCCTCCATCAAAAAAGAAAAACTATCCTCTAAATACCAGCTTCGCCCTGCCGCTTTAATGATTTGGAACGTAATTTTGCGGTCAAGGCCACATATTGGCGCCCGCTAGTTTAAACCGATATCTGCTACTTTTTCTGGAACAGAAGATTGCCTTGGATGCCAGCTAAGCAGATAATCCCGGGCTTGCTCACACCCTTCATTTAGTTCGAATTACGGGAGCCTTGTCCAGCTTAAACGTTAAGCCAAAACACTAGTTTGGTCTGTGGTAGGAAAAAAAAGGTCCCAGCAATAAAAATAGAAGTGACCCCTGGTCTCACTTTCCAGTCTGCCGCCTCCTTTCGCCCCAGCCGAGTCCTGGAGCCGTTTCTTACCGCACTAATTGCACTATAGCGCTGGCGAGCGACGATTTTCCCATCCTGAACGGAACAAAGTCGTGAAAGCAGTAATGGCCTCGACTGGGAAGTAACGTTGTGCATTCCCCTCCACATTTTTCGCTTGTTAGCATAAGGGATTGCGCAACGGAGCACCATACTAGTTTTTGGCAGGTTCAATACAGTCGTTCGCATGCGGATGAGGGGGATCTCAGCGAGATCAACCCGTTCTCCACCAATTTATGAAGCGGATTAGCGCCAACGGTTACTGAGAAACGACTGAAATGGACGATATGATACAGTTTGTCGCTTGCCAAGATAAGAAAAGAAAGCAGGCTGGCGCCGCACACAACCCACCTCCCCCCCTTGACACGCTCCTTCCGCAGCAAATGAGGCTGTATTTGAAAACTACAAGTCTACTTCAAACTGTTTTCCTGATGTAACTTGAATTGTTTTTTGCACTACAAGCGGAGATGCAGATGGTTAGACAACGGGACAACTAGCCAATAGAGCTGTTGTGCCTCTCAAGCTGATGTACCTATTGATTTCATATTAAAGCATTATTTTATTGCATACATATGTGTTTGTGTCATGTGAATTTACAACCCAGAAAAATACAAGCAAGACTAGTGATACGTAGTAGCAGTAGTAGGTGTCAAAAAGCAATGAAAGTCCTTCAGATACAAATCGAAAAGGATAAGTCTCGAATCCCAAGGTGGATTAATGGACTTCGGTGAACAACTTTGGCAATCAGAAGACCTGGTGAAACGTTAATGCTTCATTTGAGCTTTTCATAGGAGCATTGGCTTGGCACGACATCGAGTGGAGTCTGTTCTTGCGGGACGTCACGAGTAAGAACCTGAAAGATAGCGTTTGAGGCTGTTTGATGCACGAGAAAGCTGCGCAACGCGACCGTAATCGCAAACATTAGTAGACTACACCCTCTAAGAATCTCCACAGTTATAGCCAGAGATGACCAATTTACCTCCAAGGCGACGTTACTCATTTCCTGCTCCATTTCTTTCACGGCCTCAACCGTCTCTTTTTGGGATGCCTCCTCAGTTGCTTCTTCGTAGACAGGCACGACGTGGACTGTTTCTTCTTGCGATGACTCACTTTTTCTCGTCACCTCTGGAGATTCCTTCTTAGGCGAAGTGTTCTCTTGTTTTTCGCGCTGAATATGAATTATCAATCCGTATCTTAGTCACAGGTAAGAGTGAACCTTCCGTGTGACTTGCGTATGATTGACTGGAGAGGCCGCGTCGCAACCGCATGCGTCTTGTCTTGGTCGCCACAAATGCGTGTGGAATGAAGTATGCTACAATTCTACTT